TTATACTAATAATGGCGGCGATCAGCAAATTATGGCGGCGATCAGGGACATATGGCAGCGATCTATGGCGGGACTGCGGCGGACATTCTGACATTGGGGGGGTACTGACTTGGGGTCACTGACGTCCCCAAAAACACTAAAACAGTGATCAGTGCAAAAAAAACCCAGACCCTGTACTAATGGCAATGGGGGAGGACGGGGTTAACTTTATTTTGCAGGGAAGGGTTATAGGAGTGAGGGGTGTTTTACTAGGGGGCGGGGGTGTGTACTGGACGGGACAAGGCTGATCGAGAGAGAGAAACTGTTCTTTCTCGATCAGCTCATCCTCGAGCTGACAGGGAAGTGACAGACGGCACAGCTACTGCAGCTGTGCTCTCTGTCACTGTTTGCCGCCGATCGCCGGGACATAGCCGCTAAGGAGCGGCTGTGACCCGGCGACTGACATCTGCGGCGGTGATCCGCGGGACAGATGCGGCGGCGCACCTCGCACGCGCCCCCTATTTGTTTACAAAACACACACGATTTAAAACGTGGTTTTGCCTGCGAGTGCTGCCCTGCTGCTGCCGTATGTATATGTACAGTGGCTGGGCGGCAAGTAGTTAAAGTGATGCTAAAGAGCACTGAGGCTCTTGTGGACATCGCTGGATCAGGATGAGGCTCAGGTAAGTGTTTTGGGGGGGGGAGGCTGCTACACACAGAAGATTGCTCTCGTGCACAGCACGGAATCAAGAACAGACTCATGTAAGTGTGGAGGAGGAACACAGAGAAGAGTTTTTGACTTTTTGCTTTAATGCAGAGACTGCCTTTTAGGCCTTTAGAACCACTTTAAGTCCTCATGCACACTGGACGTTTTTACAGCTGCCGTTTTGGGCTTTTGACCTTTTTTCTACAGCCAGTAAACCCCCCAGCATGTTATCCTATGTGTCCATGCACACTTAGACTGTAATCAATGTTTTTTGGCTGAAAAAAGAAAACCCAGGACTAGTGGGTTTCTAGAGGAGTTTGTTAGTTGTAAAAATGCTGTAATGCTGAAAAACGCAGCAGACCGGCAATTTGGGGCTTTTTTTTTTTTAACCAAAAAAATATTTTTGGTTAAAAAAAAAAAAAAAAAAATGCAAATGTAAAACGACGCTAATGCAAGAACGCAGAAAAACTCACTTTTTTTTTTTTTTTAATGTGACTTTGCACAGCTAACGATACCAGCGTTCTCAAAATGTCCAGTGTGCATGAGGGCTCTCACTTAACAAAGGAGGTGATTTCAAACTGATTACTTGCTCCCTCTAGCTGCTAATCTAAAAACCTTTTTCTGTTTAATAACCGTTTTTATGGAAGGAATGTTTGTACGTTTGTAAAAGTAGTAGAAACACAGTGGAAAGGCTCAAAAAGAACAAGTGGCCCATCAAGTCTGCCAGCCCTTTTCTTTGTAAACCTTTTGTATTTTTAGTGTAGACAGACCTAGGTTTATCCCAAACATGTTAGAATTTCTTTGTAAATTCTTTTTAAACAAATATTTCAATGAAAGAAAGTACTAAGGTAAAACAATTATCAGACACAGTGTAATATTCTCACAATATAGAAATCAGACATGTTAATTTCATGGTACTGTCAAAACAGTTAATACACATTTTGAGCTTCAAAGAATCCGTAAACTACAATGATTCGGATATGTTGTGCGGAGCTGTCTGGGTGAAAGGTTTGGTCTTTATAGCTACTCATGCCATTTTGTTCTTGAGATCAGAATGTGAAACTTTGATATTGAAACGATGGCCCTCCTAAACCTTATTAAGGTGCATAAAACTTACTTTACCATAATCACTGCAAGAGTAACTCCATATTCTGTATATGTACTGTAAAAATAAGCCACAGGGGCATGGCTTGGTAGCCCAAGTGATTGGACATGCCTCAGCCAATTCAATGTATCCGGTGACCGGTGTATGGTTTTGTCTTGATCCAGTCATGACAAAACCAATAACTGCAAGTCTGGCAGTTAATTCCAAGATGGTGCAGAATACTGCAAAGAACAATATAAGGAAGTCGCTCAAAAGCTGAAGAAGTTCACCCGGACCCCAGCTGACACTGCAGCAGTATGCACCTTCTGTTTGCAAGAGGTTCGCTTCTGTAAAAATTCCATTACTCAACTAAAATGATGCAAAAAACAGTGAAATGGGAAAATCCTTGATGCTAGCAGTTGATAAATCGGAAATAGAACTGCTATCTGACTCTGGTCTAGACACTCATACTTGCTGAGAGTTTAGTCATCTAGTCTATTAGTCCTTATATCAGTCCTGCAGCACTGATCATTCTACTGGGACAGTGGGGACTCTCTCCTAAATCTGGGATTTAATATGGAATAGACAAGTTAGGATTAAATTATTCACCCTTTTGTCAAAGGGTGCTGGTGGTTTAGTGGTTCTCGATGCTAAACATAATTTCCCGGCAGCATTGCTACAGCATTTGGCTAGATGAGGTCATCCTGATATTCCACCACTATCTGTAAAATCCTGGCTTTCAGAACTATAAGTACTCCTGTCATGATGCACTTGGAGGCTGGGACATTTGTTAGTAAACCAAAATATTCCACTCTCCTCATAGTTAAAACATGGATGACCATGAAATGTCTATGTACCATGGGGGATTTAATTTCTGCATCCCTATTTGGAGTAATTCTGATATGTTTGAACTAGCTACACTGAGAGGCTTGACTCATGGCTTTCCCTGGGTAATATGTATTTACACCAGCTATACAATGCTGGCACACTGAAATCATTTAGCCTAACCAGAAATGTCCGTACCTCCAGCTGCTTCATGCATTTGGTGCCCATATCTGTCCCTTACACAATATACTACTCTGTTTATATGAGAGACGCTGCTTGCAACTCAGCGAAAACAGCTTTATTTCACACAATTTACTGCTTATTTGCTCTCTACATTTATTACTTCCCTATAATGCAGCCGTAGCTGGGAGGAGGATGTGGTCTCCTTACAAGATGAGAAATGGGATGTTGATTTTGCCGCTGTTCTCCAAGATCATGCTTTCCCCATCCTAAAAACGTCTACTTATAATATGAAGTATTCTGGTCACTGACCATTATATACTGTATAGTGGTGCACCAAAATCAAAATTCTGGTGCCAAAAATGATACTGAAAATTCAGAATTCACGTGGCCGGAAACCGAAACCAAGATTTCTGCGTATGTGGGGGTGGGAAGGCTCAAATTAATTTTTTTTTTTTTTTTTTTTTTTTTTTTTTTTTTTTTTTTTTTACTGTGTATTTTTATATTTTACCTTATGATTTTATTGCTATCACATAGGGAACCAATAGTCCCCTATGTGATAGCATATGAGTGACAGGTCCTCTTTGTAGGAGGGAGGGGTTGGGGGGCAGTGTGTGCAGGGGAGAGGGGGGGCAGAGAGGAGCAGTGTATACACTCAGGCTCCCTTACTGGCTGCCCCTATATGTCACTGCTAGTTTTTAAATGTAATTTACCGTCTTTTTCCCCTCCAAGAAGGAGCTGGCATTCTCCCTGCCACAGCTCCGCTAACACTGGGCATACGCCAAGGCATCACTGTGCAGCCACACCTCCCTCTTGCAGGAGGAGGGGGCAGAGCAACCCACATCTCTCTGGGGAGGACAGACCAGGGTGGAACCAAGTTGCCACACCTACTCTCTCTTCACTACTACATGGCCAAAGGATCACTGTGCAGCCGCGTCTCCCTCCGTAAGAGGAGAGGCTAGGCGCAACCCACATCTCTCCTCAGTGAGAACAGAGCAGTGAAGAACCAAGTTTGCACAGCCCCATCTACTGACTATCCTCCGGATATTGTACGTTCCTCATAGCGCTAATCGCACAGAATTGGTTTATGCCCCCCATTTGCCAAGATTTGTTTCTCTGGAAGAACCCAGTTAATACTGTACTAGTGAAGAAGTAAGAAGACAGTATTAATATCAGTGCAGCGATGTGCCCCCTAAAAGTTCTGATATGATGGTGTAGCAGATTTTAATGCACCAACCTACACAAGCCCTGCCTACACTGAAATTACAATGATCCTAAGTGAAATGCACATCCTTCACCATCTCATAAATGAGTGAGATCCATACGAAAATATCAATCTGATGGACCAGTTGTGTGTAATGAGACCTTGTGATGATTTTAATCTCCTGTTTACTATTGCATATAGCCCACAATACAGTATATGTAATAATATTTCAGAGATAGATGAAATATTAATGGCATGTGTCAGTATCTGTTCAATTTCTCTGGATTTTATATTTTTTATAAGTAGGCTCAATTCCACAAAGCTTTAACAAAAGCCTAATGCTCCATTGACACTAGGGTTCTTCCAAAATCGTGGTCAGAATCAACCCGCGATTCTGCCCTTTCCCGCGCATAACTCGCAATGTGGTAAAAACCTACCATGATCCTGGCAAAACCACCCCCTTATTTTCCAGGTGGCCATTGAAATGAAATGCACCTGAAACACACTACGAATGCGCATTTTCACAGCGCCGATTCCGCCCTGCGATTTGAAACACTCTAGTGTTGAATAGCAGCCCTTGTATCAGGCCATAACATGCAGACCAACATTCCAAAAGGCACTCTTTAGTCAACTATGTGGATGTAATTTTCAAAATTTATATTGGATTCCACATACTGAAATAGTCCACTCTTTTTTATAAAATATAAAGATCCTGAATGTGTTTGCTGTGTGTTCCCTTGACCCTAATGGCCAGCTGTCTCTTTTTTTAAGCATGTGATTACTCACTCCTCCCAATGTTGCATGATATCCTCTCCTTATAACTGAATCCTAGCCCAATTTATAAGAGGCATGAGTCAACAGGCTTTGGCGATCCTGTTGGATGGCATACAGTTTGACAAGTGCATGTGAATTTGTACTGTTGGGTTGTTCCTGTTGTGGTGTTTTGGGGCTTTTTTTTGGCTTTTTTATCCTGATAGTAAATTCCACTGTCCCGTTGTATGTATTTCAGTTTTATCTTTCAGTGGTTAGATTGAGTCTGAATTTGTGAAATATCAAGGAACATATGTGATGCACTAAGCACGGGCCTGATGTAGATTGCTTACCCCCTTTTTGGAGGCACTTCATGGCAAGGCTGCTGGCTCTGGTCGTCGTACAATCCACAATCTCTAACCTTTGGCACCCTCAGAAAACAAAGAAGTATGACATGAACATGCACCATCACATGAAAAGCTGTAACTTTAACAGTAATTTATTTTTTATTTTTTGCTATGTCTTTCGCGCTACTCGTCTCTCCTGCACTCTTCTCCTTTCTGTCTTGCGCGCGCTCTCTGTTCTATTGATTTCTCCTCTCATGCGTGCTCTCTCTCGCTTCGAATTTCTCCTCTCCCCACGCGATCTTTGTCACTGTCCGCCACGATCAACCACCCTCAACATGCCGAACAATCGCACGGCTGCGAACCTAAACAATACGTCACGCCCAAGCGGCGTCAGACCTCCCCAGACTATCTCACGAAAACTCATGACCAAAGGACCGCCGACATCTAGAACCATCGCGGTGTGACGCCTACGTAACAATGCCACACTCCGCTGCGTCCTGCACCAACGATGCCGATAAAGACTACAATCGTGCCCTAGCAGCCTGAATGCCTTGTTACTGGGTTCGGGTTAATTACGCAACAACCCTCTACTGCCACCAACCACATTTTGTATAGAGGGAAACCTTTATCACCATTACTACACTGTAATGGTTTAAAAAGTCGCCTGTCCAATATGGCCACCGCAGGCCGATTGGGCATAGATTAAAACAAAACACAGTAGCATCTCTCAGAAGGCAGGGATCGTAAATTTGTCAATTAAGCACTTTAAAACAGTTTTAACCTTTCAGAAGAAAATTATTACTAAGAGTCAACACGTGCAATAAAAATATTTACAAAAAACAATTTAACTAAATTATATATTTAAATATAAAAAATAAAATTGCACAGCAAAGGATAAAGGGGGAATTAAAAGGGTTAAATTTTCTTTCCATTTAAACCTTAAAAGGGAAGAATCCAATTCAGAGCGAAGGTCTTTTTATTTTCCTCTGTACGATTAAAATTAGGAATTGTTTAGCTTAACTCTTTTGCCTTTAGCCTATTTTTAAAAAATCACGGGGAATGGCTCTGAAAGT